TTGGCGGTACTTAAGAAAGGTACTATAATATAGCTCTTTCAGACTCGGTAATTTTTAATGAAATGCATGAGATACAGATAATTTATATAGGTACGTTATCCATTCGTTTATATATATATATATATAAACGTCTATCTAAATATTGTATAAAGTAATTATTTTGTGAATTTTCTGTATACCTGGTAAAAGTTATTGACGAAAAGTTTAATATTATTATGATGCGCACAGTTATAATAATATGAGGTTACACGAGCAAATTCAATTATCCTGCGTATTATAATATTATATACGCATGTGTATTTTTACTACGAGTACCTAATAATATTGTGTTCAATACCCACGCGAAGCAGATTTTCCACAATGCACAATAGCGACTGAATTTCCGCATCTTTTGAGATATACTGTCGTGAAAAACTTTCACGATTTGCTTAACCAAATTAACTTTTTTCGGGAAAAATACTATCAAAAACAAATGTGCTATTAAATTTAAATGTATCTACAAATTGTATTTATATGTTTTTAAAATTAAATCCAATCGACCTGTTCGCCATGATTTCTTTTTGTATCCTTGCGTCGTGTGGTACCAGAAGCAGTATAAGCCAGCACGTCCCCATTCATTTTACGTCCTATGAACTCTCCTATAATCACCCTATTCTCAAAATATTACATAATAACATAAATCTAAATCTAACATAGATAGACTGCTCTAGTTTGGTTCAAGCCTTCAATTGATTCTAATTGAAAGTATCTTAAATCTGTATATATTTTGTCTTAGATATATTTATGTATTTTTTTTCAAATACTTTTTCTGTTATCTTTATTTTTCCTAATGTAAATTTCCGTAATCTTAATCGAAATAATTTTCCGTTTAGTCAATGCGGGGGTTGCAAAGCTAATCGATGCGTCTAAAAATAATTGGTTTGTATAAATTCATATATATATATAAAATAAACAAATACATAAGTTTTAAAATACTTGCAATTCTTTGACAATTATGCGTCATAATTTAATTACTCATACGAATTTAGAATGGAAAAAAATATTTCGTATCATATAGTTATTGTATCTGCCATATTATTATAATGGTAAAAAAAATGGTACCACTAAGTATATTTTGAAAAAAATAGTGTGTATTAGATAAAATGAAATTTAAATTGGATTAAACAACGCGCGACACGTTCATTTTTCATGCATAATATATATAACATGCCTATATATAAATATATATACATATATATATATATGTGTGTATATAATAAGTATAACTTCGCAATTCCCGCAAGTTCACAAATAAAAATGTAAAACAAATTTATTAATATAAAACGGTGATGTTTTTTCTTGCTAAGCCGTCTCGCAGATAACTTTTTGCAGTCGTCATGACATTATTGCGTGTGTATTGTGTTTAATATTTATATCAAAAATATTTTTTTTTTTTTTATAATATACTCGAGGTGTATTAGTATTAGGGAGACCGAGGTAAGTTAACGCTACCAAGGGGATCGGAAAAAACGCGAAACAAAAGCTATTGCATTTTCCTGATTACCATGGGACACACACACACACACTCTTTACGACTGAATAATTTGACGAATTGACAGTTAACTTCACGAGGGGAAATTTATAATATAAACGTTCGATATTTTAGAAATTATAAGAACGGTGACGTCAGAAACGTATCGTAGTCAGGAAATGAAATGGGGGTACTGGGTTACATAAACGACATATTACTTATTTTTTTTTAGACAAATTAAATCTATAAATAACCGATCTAAAAAACCAATTCATGAGGGAGGGGCACAGTTCCATCGCCACCCACATCCACCGTGGCTACGGCGATGATTTTACTGATTAAAACACTTTTCCGATAAATATATTTCAATTTTGTTTACGAGTTTTTTTTTATTATCACCACATGGCACCTGTCCGTTATAATTCCCAATAACAATATTTTGCGTGAGAATTCCGTACAGTTCGTATTAGGTCCAATCGTTAATAAATATTAATATATTTGTACACGTGCATCGTGTTTTGCGAAAAAAAAAAAAAACAATATTATATTACTTTACACGCGTGTTTACCGTTGTGGTATTAACTATATTAATGAATATTCCGCCGTGTCTGTATAGTAGACTGACGTATGTACGACAAACCATTGTTCTTGTTTGCCACTTTTCATAAACTACGTTGCTCGTCTAATATTGTTAAATTGCTGAAAAGGTACGAATATATTATTATTATAATTAATCGTGTGATCGGGCGACGAGTCGGTTTAATGCGTTTTTGATCGCGGTCCGGGATGCGTATTTACAGCCCCTATTCGAATTCAGCCCGAAAACACGACCCGTAGTCGTTTTTCAACGACTAAACATTATGTATTACGTTTACACTTTGGAAACTGCATTCAATGGAGCCGTATCGGATTTAGATCTACAAATAGATTGTGTTTTGTAAAACTCCTAAAACCTATACTTATACTAAAACGCATGTGGCCAACGAGATTGTTACGTTTTGACTTTGATCGAACTAAGATTGGGTCTGAAAATACAAGTCCGGGAAGAGAGAAAGAGCCCGCAGGAGGTTTTTGGGTAGCGTTAATCTACCGCGAAATCGGAAGTATAGTATTAATAGTAATAATATTTTCGTCTTCTCCACATACAGATATAACATTTAAATATTGTGTTATACCGCCAAATCGGTGCAACCAGAAATTTAACTTGGTCAGTATACTTGAGTTGGCACATTTTTTTATAAAATATAATTTTAAAAAACCGTTAAAATCGGCTTAACAACAACAACTTTACAAGTATTTATTTGGTAATTTTATCGAATAAATCGTATATTTCAACCAAGTCACAAGGGAAAAAGCTTTATTGATCAAACCAAAATTAGCTTTTTGGATCAGGCAAATATATGAAGAACAAACGGAAATTCTACGGCTGTGGTCCAATTGATCACGATTGTACCTGTATAAAAACGCGTTTGAGCACGAAAATCTATGCATTGTTACCGATATATGTCATATTATCTTAAAAGTTATTGTTTACACATATTTGTATACATTTAAAACATAATTGATAGCAATAATTTGTATGACACTTTATATATAGTTATCAAAAAGAAATCACCCAGTTATTATACGGAATGTAAAACACAGAACGAAAAAGGTCACGTTTGAAATGATTATCAAAGATATTAATATCAAAATGGATTTTCCTAAATATTTAGATATACTTCCAACTTAAAATAAGTTTTTTTTTCAAATTATAATCAGTATTTTTGGATTTTTTATAATCATTTTTATTTTATCTTTTTTAGTAAGTCAAATATTATACCTGAGAATTTGAATTAAACAATAAAAATAAGACACCACAGTAAAAATGTTTTATTTAAAACAGTACGATATATATTATTATTTTCAAATAAATGTAATTATAATAGAATTACAATAATAATTAATATTTTTAATATATATTATTTTTCGTAATTATAAATTCATAAAAAAAAAATTAATTAAAAAACGTATTGTTTGGCTTTTGAACGCAACATTTGTTGTCAATCGAATGAATAACGAATCGTTGCCGTACGTGGAAATCCTGTTAGATATAAATCACTTATCGATAACAATAATAATAATGAATTTATTTTCCTTTTTATCCACCTCTTCTATGTCATATAAAAACGTGTGTTTGTCCTTTATGCATTACCACACCATTCATCCGATCGCCATTAAACTTTAAATAAATCGATTGGTCGATTCACATCTGAAGCACGAAAAGAAGAGATATTACGAGCTCCGAAAAGAGACGAACATACGGGAAACAAGATTAGAAAAGAATTACGGGTGAAAACAAAAAAATCAAAAATTGAAACGGGACCTCTTCGGAACAACTTCTAATTGTACAAATAAAATTAGAACTTCGACTTTTCCACGATAACATTCGAGTTAAACGCGATTTGTTTGCATTGTTCAAATAGGCAATTCTAAGGACCGGGGAAAAAAGTTCCCGAACAACCGAATTTGCATCAACAAAATTACTTTACATAAACACCTAGGTGCGTGGAATTTAAGATGCCGTTAGCCAGAGAAAAAACTTCATGTATTAGTTATATTTTTTTCCTTTGATCATTTATTTCGATTGATTTTTTTGTTTGTGAGAGTTTCAGCTCGGGGGGCTCGAAAGATCGGTGTAATCTCGTTACTCGATCGTGGACGTTACGATAACCTAGGATAAATTTACCCCCCCCCCTCCCCGTCAGGAAATATTGACCGGGAGTGAAATATAAAATAGAATATTTTTATGTCTTCGAAATTTCGTTGGAGGTAAGCTTATCCTAGGAGATATTTGCCGGTGGGACGTAAACAATATTATCATGGGTATACAAATCCTATTATACCGGTCTTTCGAGCACATCAAACCGGAGACTCTCACAAATATTAAATCAATTTAATCGATTTATCCTAGGATATATATTTGCCGGCGGATAAACATATTTGGGAGGTAAACGTATCCTGCAGGTTACACGACTCGAGGCCATTTTGAAAACGACATCAAAATACGCCCGCGGTATCGCAAATGCCCGTTCCGTTTCGACTCGCTAATATAGTATACCGAAATTGTATTGTAATTTGTCGCCCGAAATTCAATTGTCGAGAGCTCGGCGTTATTATCGGGTATCGTCGTCGTCGTCGTCGTCCCTCGAAAACTTTTGTCCGCGGGCGGGCGGCGATGTTTGCCCGTCGGCGGTCGTGTGACGCCGTATTATTATATTATAACGACGACGATTTTACCTCGGCCCCGCGAAACGGCAACAGCTGCGTCGAATATCCCGCGAACGAAAACCGTTTGTCCGTAATTCGGGCACCTGCTGCACGGACCCGGATCACCACCGCCCGCCACCGAACGGTCTGTCGAGATTTTTTAACACGATTTCGACGACGACCGCTTAAGACGCGCCGCGCGTCTCGGTCCCCTGCTTCCCACCCACTCAACCCCATCCCCCGGTAATCTTTCAAACTTTACGAAACGATTTCGCGCGGTAAGCATTTCTCGATGTGTGCAATTTATTTTTTCGTTTTTTTTTTTTTTATTATTTCATTCTGCAAAACGCGGTGAGCAATGTATCGGTTTTACCGCGACCCGTGTTTCCATCACCCCTTCACCGTCATGTCCTTTAGCCGCTTTTCTACCCGGAAATCTCGATCACTCGATAGTGTATAACGTTCTTTCCCCAGAAGAATACGGTTTCTGATTATTTTTTTTTTCGATTTTTCTTGTAGTATTTCTTAAACAATTGGGGGGAAAAACATTTTAAAAACGCGGGTACAGTTTCCGGGGCAATAAAGGTTTCTTTGCATTCTTTTATTTATTTGATTGTTTTTTAATGTTGTGGTTCTGTTAAGAATAATCACAGAAACCTGAAATCATCTACAGAACACCAATATTAGCCCTATATTAAGTAGAATTGGTTAAATATTCAAAATAGTCCGATAATTTTTTTTCAACTATTTACAGGTATTTTAAATTTTTAAATTAAATAACTCTGAGTATCCTAACTTTCCGAATTCTCACTACAAAAGTGACACACGCGTCAAGATTTTTTTAAAAAATTCTTTATGCTACATTTTTATAATAATTTAATCCTTCCACCTCCAACAGAAAAAAAAATAAAAATAGAAGGAACGTTAACAAAAACGATGCAGGTTTTTGGTAAAGGGTATTTTCTTTTTTTTATTTCTTTGTATAACTTATTTTAAATTCCAATTTAAACACGAATAATATACATTATACTTTTCGATATAAGATTTGTCATTTTTAAATGTTAACAATAAATATCCTAAACGTCGCGTAAAATTAGCTTGTTTTTTTTAAAATTGAATGCAATTTTCCACTCTTTAGAATCGATTTTGGATTAAAATTCAGTATATACTGAACTAATATAAATCGCTCTGTGCATATTATTTATTATATTCTCGATTTCTCATGCCCACGACAGTGGCGTGCTCATGGTGCGAAATATGAACTTTTTTTTTTAAATTCATCATCCTACTGCTCGTTTTCCTGTAAGTTTTCAAAAGCGTATTCAAATCCGATCTAACGTAATCGCAAACAGATTTTATTACGTAGTGTTCGCGGGGATGTAAAACGTTCGCGATTTAAAATCGCGTTGTACACACGCGCCTGTTATTCAACAGTTTCTTTTTTTTTTTTTTTTTTAGTCGACCGGTACCGGCATTTATTAAAATACACCGAGCAAAATAAGGAAAATTTTAATTCGCGAATCACCGCAAATTATTATGCACCACGTAAATGGAACAACTCGAGAAAGAGAAAATCGTTTAAATCGAATTCGAAAACTGTTTATTTTTTCGTTCTCGACTGACGCATATAAACTATTGAAATATTATTAGGTTAGGTTAGGTATACTAGGTTTTGCGTTTTTGTAACGATTTTCAAGATTGAGGTGCGAATTCCAAAAACTGCACGCCCGCCAATATTCATAAAGGTTCTAAAACAACAAAATGTTCACCTACCTATATTATTTGTTGTTTTTCGAATTTCACAATCGTTTTTACATCGAATAGCTCACAACAATCAAAAACGATATCGCATTATCTTTTGAAACTTTTCTGCTTTAATAAAAGTGAAACATTATTATAATAAATACCTACTCACTTGCAATAAACACATTATATTAAAAATTAAGGTACACACCGAAGAGTGGGAATTTATTTTTGTTATCACATTTTCAAATTTAAATTTAGAAATAGTCGTAACAATTTGTTCTTATTATACCCATCGGGAAAATGATATGCAGAATACGTAATAATGCAGTACAATTATTTGTACTTATGATGCTAAATAAATATATGGTACAAATATCCAAAAGTTATTATTTTATTAGTAATCAGGCGCGGACTGACTAAAAATAGTTAATTTATATTAAAAATGAGATTATAATATTAGATTTTTATAATTGTTTAAACTTAAAGTCACATATTAAAAGTCAATGTTTTTTTTTCAAAAATAATTTGATTAATTTTAATGTTATATGCCGAGAACAACTAGAACACCTTTCTTATCTTTGTAACTATTGTAGATAGATTACAGTATTGTTATTGGTAACTACCCTTTTAATCTCCAAGGTGACTAAATTTATCTGAAGATTATTATCGTCTAATTTTTACTATTTTAGTTGTATTTATTATAATTATTAATTCGTGACAAGTGTACACTCAAATGGGCAAGTGATCTTGGGGCTGGGAATGCTACAGTATCCCAGCACCTCAGCTAGTCCACGTCGTTTGTTAATGCTAAATAGTATATATTATTTATTGGTGTTTGACACGACTTGGGCTAAAATCCCCTTAACCTTCCCCCCTGGGTACGCCACTGCCTTAATTGAAGCGCCCACAGAAAATATGTCCTTGAAATACGAAAACAGTATTTTTTTTTTTTTTTTTTTTAAATAAATATATCCGGTATATATTGGTTACCCGGGAAAAAAAAGAAACTATTTTTATTTTGATCAATTGTTTCCACGCGGATAAACGTTTTTATGTATATTTTGTTTTCGTACGATGCTTCACCTTGTTAAAGCCAAAAAAAACACCTTGCCTTCTCTTATCCATCTTCTGTATCAATTTTAGGAACATATGTATCTGTTCACGATAAACTGCCACATGAATATCATTTCTCAGCAAACAAAATATCGCCTATATATTATAGTACTAAATAAGTGAAGTATATTGCAACTCAATTGAAATGTCTGATCATTGTTAGGTATTGAGTTTCTAAAGGAATTATTCAACAATTTCAATTATTTAATAATTAAAACAACTTCCGAATCGCAACACAGTTTGATTTACCTGTACATAAAAAATTAATTTAATTGAAAAAAAAACGTTTCCTTATTTTAGCAATTTATATTTTATTATTATTGTTTTAACTGGTATATTTTGCGAACAGACTTTTTTTTTTTAATCTGTACGCCGCAACTCAACCGACCGCATTATTTATGCATGTTGTTTAATACAAAAAACAAAAATTTAATTGGATATTCGATTTTAAAAGAGGAAATAGATTTCCGAACTCAATTGTGTATTGTATTATTGTAAATGTCGTAAAAAAAAAAAAAAACGGTACAACAATAGCAAAACGAAAAGTTAATTAAAACTCATACAAGCGGTGTCATATTAATATGATGATACGTTTGTATATTTATAATCGTATAAACATTGACTGCAAAGAAAAACACTCTGTAGCTTACAGTCCCTCATCATCATCGGCTTCCGAAGATCAAGTCTTGTCATAGTAATCATTCATGTCCGTCACTTGGTGTCTTCTTGAGTTGCTGGAAGGAGTTAAAACTTATGTAATGAAAAATCTCTTCAGAATAGGAATTTCGGAGTCTTCTCCTGGTTTTGTTACGGTTTATTTCTTTTCCATGATGATGGTGATGAACCATCATTAGCAAACGTCTAATTGGCTTTATTTTAGAAGTCATATACCAGGTAATCCATTTAGGTGAATACATTCATTATCTCAGAAAACATTAACTTTTTGCGTAATTTGTTTTCTAGAACATTTAAAAAACGATGAACTACACAAGATGCTCTATAATTTTCTATTTATGTTATTTTTTGTCGCCATTCTTTTTGGCGGTGAGACCACAACCTACATTTGATTTTCAAAATTCCATTAATAGATGGAGTGTTTTTTAAAATAAATTGGAGTGTTGACATTTTTGATTTCCGTTGATCCGTTGATGAGATATTATACTTTTACTTATGGGTGATAAAAAATAACATAGATATACAATTATAGAGCTTCTTGTTTCTTAAATGCGAAAACAAATTCCAAAAAAAGTTAATAATTTCCAAGATAATGAGTGTACCACTTAGATGAATCACTCAGTACTTATACTCTGGACTTTAAAAAACTAATTTTTCTTATCGAAATGATATAGAATTATTACGTGAAGTAATAATTCTTAATAATCTTTATTCTACACTTGTAGGATACATTTTTTCAATAACTGGTAAACTCATACATATTATTTCGATTTTCATGATTTTCGCGTTTTCCGATTTACCTACTTTAACTATTATAGTCATAGGTACAATTAACAATAATAATTTTCATTTTTAATTTGAACTTGAAATTCTAAAATTTATTTTTTTCGAATTTGGTTTTTAAAATATATCCCGGATTTATGGATTCAGTGGTTAAGCCACATTATTAAGTGTCACCAATAAAATAAACCACTATAAACAGCCTTCAAATGTGTGTTCCAGAGGATCACACATTACATCCAAGGAAACGATAATACATTGCGAATGAAAAACGATTTGGAGCGAAGTTTCTTTTATACGGTATATGTACATTTTCCCGTTTTCCGACATTTTCACCGGATTTTATCAATTATTATAAAACTTACCTGGAAAATTAAAAACGACTACCTTAAAATAAAAAGTAAATCAAGTTTCCTTTAAGAAAAGGTACTACACTTGATACATTGGAGCAAGATTGCTGGTAGAAACGTTTTTCCCAAAAATAAAAAAAAAAATTCAAAATAAACATCATTGTAAAACCAATACATTTTTAAATAGGGTATAACGCAAATAATAATAACTATAAAATCGAACGTCTTAATTCGAAATTGTATGTGCATTTAAAAAAAATATTTTTTGATACACATTCTGTCTATAGTATATTTTATAATCTATGGTAAATAAATCGAGCAAATAATGTGACCAACTGGGTAACTTGCATATTCGGTAATGTTAATGTATATGCAAAATCTTGCAAACCAAGATAAAAATTTTGGTGCCTAGCGACATTTCTAGTGGCTTATGAACCTAACCTACTCGCAATGCTTTTTATAGTATTGTGAAAAAACTTACTTGCAAATGAATAGCAAAATATCGGTAGGTGTAGGTTTAAAATGTGTACCGTGACAAGGGTGAACAAGTTAAAGATGGACTTCGAATAATCATTTTCTGTTCTATTTATCGCTGAAATTCAATCAAATTTTAATAACAAATATGCATTTCAGTTTAATCAAAATAAGAATAAATAATAGTAATTTTAGTTAGACGCATGCGATTGTAACATAAAAACGCGGGAATAAAGCAATACACCTATATTATACGCTGAATATTAAAACATTTTTTTTTTTTTTTTTGGTTTGAAACGAAAAAAAGAAACAAAAAACGATAAAACGTAAAACGATATAAAATGATGTTTACAAAAAAAAAAAGAAGAAATTGATACAAAACTTTATTTGAACAGTGACTCAAAAGAAGTAACCTTTTTCGTGCATGCTATATTACATATTATATGATATATTTTGTTAGTACTATTTTTTTTCCCCTCTCTGTAAGTATAAATACTGAAACGCAATTAAAATCCTGAATAATAATAATGGTTTTGTATGTATAAAGTGTATAAAATGGCTGTACGTTTATATAATATTATAGTGCTTCAAACATCAATAAAAATAAATACTCGAAACGGATTTAAGGTTTAAATGAAAATAATATGAGTTTGTGGGTAAAAAAAAAACGCGAATAACCGAAAACCCCGTAATAAGTGTACTATTGTTGCCATAGCCCGCAGCGGAGTGGTTGGAGGGGTTACAACCCCTCCAACTGAAATGAATCCGACGACTATTCTGTGAACGTTTGAAAAATACGATTTGTTAATATTGTTAGATAAAATGAAGTAATTATAAGTGCAGTTTAGTGTGGGGTTAAAAAATAATAGGTACAGTATGTTTAAAAAACAGGACGGAACGTTAATTCAGTATGACCACGGATATTTACCGTATAGACAACCCAGGGTTGGTTAACAACATTGATGGCCTATTTTCATGGACAAAGGCGAGTGAGAACTAAGTGCATACTCTTCTACACATATAGAAATCGACTTTTTATAGCGAAAGGTAAAAATAAACAGACATATTTTGTACAATGGGTGAGCCACTTTTGTAGATGAGGAGTTGGGAAGTAGGTAGGGGAAATTTAATGTGCATCTGTATCATCAACGATTATTCTTTGATAACGAATAACGATTCTGAGCGGAGTTCGGTTGTGCATGTTTTTAAAGGTCGTAATATTTACGATTTGAAAATAATATGCTTCGTAAATTAATAAAATACAAAATAAACATTATTGTAAATCCAATAGATTCCACACTCCACTCAAAATCTAAAACACCGGAATTTTTTGGAAAACACTATATTTTGGTTTTTAATAGAAGTTTTTAATGAAAACACAAATTAATAATTACGTGAACGAACTACGTGTGGAACACACGAATGAAAGATTTGTATTCACGTAAATAAACGTGAATTTACTATTACGTCCGCGTGTTTTAGTGTTATTCACGTATTCCCGGTTATATAATTATGCGTACCGTATTAAATGTATTAGATTTATTGCGGATTTAGTATAATTTCAATTTATTTTACTGTTAAATGAAAATTATTGATAAAAATATCATGAACTCAAAGTAAATACTACACACTGAAATCACGTGAATACATGAGTATACGTGTACACTGTACACTTGTCATACGTGAAATAGTAAGCTCTGGTTAATAACATTCAGCGACACATTCGTAGTCACCTATTTATTTCGTATTCAACACGTATTGTATAGACTGTTGATTCCGTACAAACATTAAACAAAATACGCCCAACGTCCGAACAAAATCATAGAGCATAATACCGCCGTTGTGTGATATTACGGTTTTAACAGACTATTGATTTGCATTTTATTGACGACAATGCGATTCGTTGTAAATTATATTCTATTTATTGGTTTCAGCCGTAATTTATAGTAAAATCAACGGCAAATTCGATGGAAAGTTCAAGCGAACAAAAATAATAATAATAAAAAACTTTATCGCTTTTGTATTTAAATAAACTTTTGCGTTCGGATTCACGATTCCTATACGGTGGATTTCGTTTATCGGAACGGGAAACGACGGAAAATGTCCGATTATTATTATCCGTCCGTGGGTTTTACGTATTTTACTAGGACTAATAAAATACAAGCCCGTATACAAAGGGGGGGGAGTTAAGCGTTCAATTCCCCCCTTCCACGGATTTTTCAAATCCGGTATATATTAAAAATATAACAAAGACTACAAGTTCATGTATTAAAGATATTTTAAGCCTCCTCCCACGCCCGAAAATTAATTTTGAATAACTGTTTGATTATTAATTCGTGAAGCTCGAAATCAATTCGCGACGCGCGCCGTAGGTACGGACAATAATACTATTAATTTCGGAGTGATGATTTGAATGTTCTGCCTGCACGATCGCCTCCGAATACCTCTGCTGCAGTATTTATCACGCGTCTATGACAAATTAACATTAAATGTTCGACACAATAATCTGTAGGCGTATGTGTTTAAGAAACTGTAAATCAACGTGTATTTGTATAGATATAATTATTTCGAGACGTTTTACAGTGGAAATATTACAATTATTCGTACCTATATATTATTGTTAGATGTGCAATCGTCCATATAACGGGTGATTTATCACTACCTACTATAAAATATAAATCGATACAGGTACGATTCGTCGGAGTATAATAATTATTATAAATCGCGTACTCTCGTTGTATATATTGTATGTTTGAATTATATACAGTATCGCAAAAGATGGTACATCTATACTAGAGCTTTCTATTTCACGTGTACACGTATATTCACATATTCTGCACGTATTTCAGTGTATAATATTTACTTAAGTTTATGGTACTGGTGAACATTTTATTTCAACAACGAAATCAATTATAACTATACAAAATCCGTAATACCTATGTATGTAATATTATATAGCACGTATTGTAGTGTATTATAAAATGTATATCTAAATGCGATACTTGATAAGATGCATGCCGGGTGGTTTTGTTATTATCATTATTATTATTATTATTATTATCTGCTGTGTGTGGTATTATCACTCGTTCGCCTGCGGTCAGTCGTTGCGCACCGTCTTTGTACTTTTATTTACGCTTCAATAATATATCGGCTATGTATCATTTTATTAATATCAATCTCCTCATTTACATCTAATGAAATCCTACATAGCAAGCACAACACGTATTATGCCGTAAATAAATAAAAAATTGATGAAAAATTGATGGCAGGTGATAGTAGGCAAAAAGTGTACACTACTGTATTCGAGTACAGATAAAAACGCTATATGAGTAAATACTGAACATTCCAGTGTTATATACAAATAAATTTTAAAACATAAATATTATACAGGTTAATTATTTTTATCGAGAACTAGCAATTTCCTCGGCGAATATTAAGTTAATTCGATTTCTAATTTTTTAACCAAAATTTTCTAGATATTTTGATATGCATAACACTAATATCAGATTTACCATTTATAAGTTATAAGCATTTAAAGTTAAAACCAGTAAAGTAAATAAGAGTTATCAATTCATAATTTAAAAATAATGTAGTATAAAAGGGTAATAAATAAAATTCATTGCCCTTTTATCCCTTCTCCACACTTCTCTCAGGTCTAATAGTTTTTTGGAAGTACTAAAAGTATAACCGATATTATAATAATTATATTGTAATTAACTCATATTAGAAAAATATTAAGATTTCTAAAAAGTGGTGAAAAGATTTATATGAAATTATTATTACATTTTTGTACGAATAATGAAATGTCACGCGCACGAAACTTTTAGGTAATTTTTAATAACCCCACTTTCCTTCCGAAATACAAGTTAAATATTTGGTGACAGTCCGGTTAGAAATGTAATCAATCTATTTTAATGGGTTATTATTATAGAGTACAGTGGCAAACGCAGGAGAGAGGGTTCGCAATAATAATTTTATTGGTATTACTATTTATGAAACGCTCAATACTTATCTTTGGTCCCGGGGATGAAGAAGAGCTAATTTTGATCTGTGGCAATCTTTCGTTTTAATCGAATTTCTTCCCTTTTATTGACCGGTCTAATTGGCCTGCGCGTAAATTCTGCGGCCCAATTTAAAATTATAATTTAATTCACTATGGTGTGCTTTTTGTTTGGCCAAAAAAAAAAACCCCCGCACAAGTCATATTATATTTGTTGTACAACAGTTTAGCCGTTTAGCGATTATGTCTTTTGGCAATTCGCAATATTTAATCCGTTTGTATCGAAAACTATACGGAATCAACTTGAGCGCTTCTTGAGCCCCGGGACCGAAGATATATAGACACGAATCGAAAATCGTCGAGAAACAACAATACCGTCCAATATAACGAATTTATGTCAATTAATTTATCGTTCTTGTTACTACGATAATACTATTATCGTGTCGTATATTACGGTAGGTATATACGAAAAAGCACTATTAAAACGCAGAAACCCTCGGTTTGGAAATATTTCCTGGGTCGGCGATTCTCCTAATAGGACATGATATATTACTTAAGGCTTTGGTTTTATAAAAAGAAAAACGTACTCGTTTCGTTTTTATCGAACGAGTAAGAAAAAAAAATAATTTTTTCCCTCTCTATATACACAACGATACGATCCGTAATTCGAGGACGTACATAAACCGCCGCATGGTATGTACAGCGACATGCCGAAAAAGCATTATCTCTGTACGGTTTACGGACAAACAATAACATGTAAAACAGCGAATACAATCGGACATTTTTATTCGTTTTTTCTCTTACGATTTTGCCAATATTTTTTATTTTTTTTTTTTTTATTTCGGCCGCTTAAAATAATATGCAATAATACTAACGCCCGCGATTTTAGCCCATCATTCGAACTACGGTGTAAAACGCTCGGTACGCGAAGACGATGTTTTACAATCAAGAAAACGAGTCGTTTATTATTGTTGTTTCGGTCGCTGGATCGTAAAAAATGAAAATCGAATTTTACTTCTTTCACCCCCCGGGTGACGAAACCGGAGGGGTGAGTGAGAGAATTGAAAACAACGCGTATCACTATACGGCCGTAATATTTTGCCGGCCGCGGCGGTGTAAAACGGCCCGGGTGCATAATCAAACCGTTTTTATAGGTTTTCCCGGTTTTTTTTTTTTTATTGGATTAATATGTTATATCAAATGAAAAAAAAAAACGTATCGCAATAATAGGATTAATCGAATTAAACGCGAAATAATAATATCGTCTACATAATCAGGTGGGCGTCGGCACGGGGTCCCGGTGGCACCCCGTTGACCGAATTTATATTTATTTTCAAGACTAGATTTCTCCGTTGTACGTATGATTTTGTACGATACAAGTGATGATAGCCATAACGATGCGCAACATAAATCGTACTATCAAACAGATTTACAATAGTAACTCGAAAAACCACGGTTTGAGAAAATCGGATTTACAGATTTTACGTATGTTTCAATACCTGTAAAACAAAAAAATGTTTCAACTATTCTTGTACGATTTTGGATTCGTGTATAAACACAAACTATGTATTAAAACAATAATTAAAAAAATATATATATGTTGTTTCATAAACAGATGTAATTACTTTGTTTAACTATACCATAGTGTAATGGACTAAAGCCCTATTTGAATTAATATTGTAATGCCAATGAATGTGTAGTAAATAACTGCATTTTAACCATAGGAAATGTATAATTTAATTTTTTTGAGTCGCTTTACGCTACCGTCTTGGTAGTGCGATACATTTAAATATATTACATAAAATACAACTAACTACACATGAATACAATTCTGCGGCTTGATGTAAGAACGGCAAATAAACGCATAAGACTCTATGTATTTTATTAAATGTAAATTTTTGTTTAGTTTTCAATTTTTACAAAAACTTAAACCATTTTTATTTAAAAATTGTACACTTTTTCTTTTTCTGTTTATTTCTAATTTTAAAATAAATGTGTATAGCGACAAAGCTATCGGGTTTTTTTTTCTTGGCTTGTTTTTAGTAGCGTTCGGTAAAAATGTTCCAATACGACGTTTTCTACCTCCTACTACCATTTTAAGTATTTTCCTCTGTTTATTTTTGATTCAATTTAGCTACAGTCGTTGAAAAAAAATTCAAAACTAAACGATAAATACAAGAATAATTTTCCCAATACTTAATTTGAATTTCCAAGTTCTAAGAACATTATAAGGAATGAAAAATTAGTATTCGTATTTGAGAATTTAAATATCTTGTTTTATGGGCACCGTCCTACGCTTTCTGTGTTTTCGTAATAATTGATAACGCCCAGTAAACGAATTGACGTGGATGAATATAGTACAAAAATTACTGTATAATTTAGCAAACAACGAAATCGAACTATTTACGAATAAAAATGAATGGACCTACTCTATTCGAAACATTTTTGTAAATTAGAAACACTTTCCAGAAAAAAAAAAAAATGTATCTTTTTATTCATTTAAAACACTTTTTCGGTTGGGTAGATAATCAAAATGCTTCGGCTATTTCACGCAATAGCACTTCAAAAACGCATAATTTTCATCCAGTGGTAATTTATTTTTAATTCGATTTTTTTTTTTTTTTATTCGTACAAAAAAAAAATTGGCTATTCAAACACATTAATTCGAATGATCTAGGTAAAACTAATGTTGTCCGAGAAATAATATCGTAGAAATTTAATCAATGGAAAAATGGAAAAAGCGCGTGGTTTGAAATAGCAATTATGTTACCCAAGAAAAACTATATTGCGATGTATTAAAGTAACTCAAAGTATATATACCTATATGGTCTTTTAATTTATACGCTGTTAATTTTAATTTATTTTCGATTCATTTTGTTTTATATATATATATATGTATATTTTAATACCTATTAAGTGCAAAATCGTTATTATTACATTTTTTTTTTTTTTTCGTATTTATCAAAATACACAAATATTATTAATTTCAATGTAATTTTAAATCTATTATCGCGATAAATTATTTCGGAAAGTCATAATAATAATAATAATAATAATTTATAAACTCTTAAAACCGTTACGCTACAGAAGACCGCGGCTTTGTTAATAGAATTCGTTGCGGGTCAAAAGTACCGCGCCGCAATAAAGTTAATAGTTCAAAAGGAAAAAGAAAAATAATAACAAAAAACACAAACAAACGAAAAAACCGACTACAATATCGAATATTATAATATAAGACGGTAAATTATTATTATCCATTAGTAAATTAATATAATATTAATTGTTGAATAATAACGACGGGTGGTGGATAACTTAAAAAACTCGATTAAAACATATTATTTTATCGGTCTTCTTTTATTTTTGATTCAGGTCGTCTATTTCTTTCGATGACCGCAGATTTCCGTTCTGTCTCCGCAGTTCAAACTCAAATCCTTTAAGTTTGATAACTTGATAATTTGATCCTTAAGTCAATAACTTTTTCATTCGTGGATACTTATTTGTCCTCTTCAATGAAAAGGTAAAACTTTAATCACCTTCTATACGTGACCCTCAATTATAGGCACAGCAATCTGTGACTTATAATACCAATTTCTTCTAATTTTTTTTTTTTTTACATTTATAATTTCCCAAAGTTCTAAATCGTCTGACAATACAAATATTTATTCTGCCACAGAACGAAATGTCAAGCGTTTTACGCGGTACTATCGTCGATACAAATGCTTTATGTAAGGGCAAAGATTACACACTTAAATAAATGTAATTGAACGTGCAATCTCTCTGAAAAAAAAAAAAAAATGTTTTGCAATGAAATACGATTTTTTGGTACGACACCGCAGTGTTGTGCAGCCTTTTGTGTGTGTGTGCGTGTGAATAATTCGTCTACCCGCATCGCCGAGCATTATATACTCGCTATACGTACATCCGCTCGTATATTTGTAAACATTTTTTTTTCCGTTTGATAAAAATCTATACTCATCATTATAGCACGTGTATACATAAAGTGGTGGTATAGGTAGTGAACATACGGGATGATAAATCCTCGATAGTGTAACGTGCCCAACGTAAGAATGAATACTTAGGGGAAAAAGTTAAATTAAAACTCCAACTTGAATTTGAATAATTGGTTACTATTTCCAATAAAAATATAAGTCCAAATTAATTCACAAATAAATACAAGTCCAAAAACAATAAACAGAATGACGCGAAGTTGCTCGTGTATGATCGTGGTGAACTCGTCTGATTTGACGATGTTTCGGGCGACGTTATATACGCTCGGAGGAACCCCCGCAACCCGCTGTTCATAGTCGCGGTCGTCTCCATTATTCCGTTATGACAATTTATAAAATACCCTGAAATTAATTTATCTAAGTTAATGCAATTTCGGTTAAATTGAAGTGTCAATACAAGATCGGTTGATGCAATTTTACTTTGAAATTATATATTTGTCTTATCGTTTATATTCGACTCGAATCCGTACGCGATATTGGATTTCCACTATGAGCTCACCCATGCTTATGTATAATAAGGCGTGTGGGTACATAACAATAAGATACTCAGAAATCACAGAAATTATTGGCTCTTTTAGAAAAACTGTTGCATAACTGTTATTTTTTATCGCCCTTATTTTTAAAAGTGAAGCCACTAACCAAATTTTTTTTTTATTACATTTAAATCTTGAAAATAATTTACAAATATGACATAGTATAGTCACTGTGTAGGCACGCACCCCGTGACCAGTTTTGTCAAAGCACAAAGATCATACAACGAGGCATTTAATGGCTAGAATAAATAATATTAGAAGAGAAAGTTAATGCTTGAGCGTGGGTTATAGAATCTACAAAATCATTATCGCACTTAAATATGTGCATAATATATTTAACGTTGCTGAAATCCTTAATAGTATTAACTAATCTGTCGCTTACCAGGTGAATTACTCAGCATTTCTCGAGCTCACCCTTATTCCTATCACAGTTAATCGTTGTTACACGATCATTTATGTTTTATAAAGAGTGCTTTCTTGTTTGTGACCATCAAATTAATTAATATAATAACTGATTTTTTTTGTTTTATCCATGTCACTAAGGTAACTCAGGAATCAACTAGAAAAATTCTACTTTCTTACTAAAATCACAATAAAAAGTTATATCAACCATCCTATAGTTTTCCTCTTGTTTTAGTTGCCTGGTGTGCAAAGCTTTATGGTTGGAACAAATTTGTACGTTTATAAAGTAGACAGACAGGATTTCAATCTTGCTATTATGAAAGAACCCCATTACTTACAGGTTCGTTGTCGTACCTGAAACTTTTACTCGTAGATTTACAGATCAATTGTTTTCAATATTATTGCTGACCTTTTTTTGGACAGCGGTTTTTTTTTTTTTTTTTTTTTTATTAGAATGTTTATTAAGACCGGGGCTTAGTGTCAATACTTTATATTTTACTATACAGTTTATAAGAACATATAGATTACCCAGTAGCAAAACTAGAATTGTTTGAAGGTTGGTTTCACAATATGGTTACATATAAAAAAAAGAATGTTTTAGTTCACTAAAATAATTTAACTGCGGATGGAGGGAGCGTCTAGATATCCAAAAAAACCCCTCCCTAGTTTCGCTACTGAACACAATGTTTTTGGATATTCTCGGACGTTTGTTGTTGAATCAATTTTCGTCACTCGCTAGTAAAGAAAAAAACCACGTACCCACATATAACATGTATTTCGACTCTTTTGGACTCTATTATTTCGTTTTACCGTTCGTGAAAAACAAAAAAACCGTTTCTATCGTGAAATCTCTACTATGTAGGTATAAGTGTATTGCATGTGGTGTCGTAAGAAATTCAAAGACCGCCGAAATTCCGCCCTCGGCGATCCGCGCCCGAGTTGACCTGCCAAAATTTGCATAACAAAAAATAAAGCGACGAGTCATGTAAACGTTGACTTTCGGTTTTGAAACTCGTTTGCGGCAATGATAAATAATTTAACGACGGCGAAATAATATTATATTTTACGGGCAACGGCCCTTATCGCCGGACAGACGCGGAAAAACATTATACCGCAGGGTTCCGCGCGGGACTATAATATAACGAGATAGTAATTTGTCTTAAAACTTTGTGCATCAGTCTTCTAGGTCATATTAATCAAACTACGATGCTCTTATTTCGTGATTAATTTTATAATATATCCGGCACGCGGCTCCGTATAGCCGTAACGAATATAGCGATACCGCCGCCGTTAGTTTTCTATGAATATCAACGGAATTAATCAGACGTCGTCGTCGTGATAAACTGCGATATAATATTATCACCGTTAGGTGGGCACCTCTATTACGATTGTACGCGCGATAATATTCTTATACCGTGACTAAACAAACGGGCGCATCGGAAACACAAATAATTGCGCGTCGTTCTCCCATATCATTGTGCGCAAGTGCTCCGGACGTGGAAAAAAAACCACGACAAAATAAACATGGGACGTACGCAGGTATGCTGTCAATTTTGTGATACGCAACATTCGGGCTCTCCCCTTTACAAACGTAACGTCGTTCGTCTTCCGCTTTTGAATTATTTATTATTGTATATTGGCATTCAGTAATTTTGAAAATTCTGAGAACGACTTGCGTCACAGTTCTGTACGAAGTGCGGGAGGGGTGCGCCTGTTCGTCCAAAATGATATCATACCCATCTGTTTTGCCATGGAAAAAACGGTACACAATATTACCGTCGTCTTTTTCAGCGCCGATGAATGCAAAACCGCGATTGTCCGGTCGAATTTATTTCCCCGCGTTTATTCCGTATCGCGCGCACACAAAACAATATTTTTTTTTTTTATAAAACATATGTTTCCGAAAATGCTTTGTTTTTGTTGGCCTCTTGTATAGATTTTAAATCGCGAAAAATATAACACCGCTTATACCTATCGAAATCACGATTATAGATATCGAATGGTTCCAAAACACGGTGTATCTTATAGAATACAGGTGGTCCGCGACTTAAACGGTTCTTAACGTATTTTATTCTCAGACTTCTAGTGCACTCCTGGTGGAACTACATACGAATTAACAGATTATTGCCGCTATTGTAATAATAATACGCTATAGATATTATGTACTAAACTGGACCCCCCCCCCCGAGAAGAACACCAATTGGAAGACCGAAGCAGAGACAAAAGCAAGAAGGAATTATAATACAACTAGGGAATAGACAATGTTAATGAAATAACTAGGGTTAAAGACAGACAACAATTTCAAAAACTGAGAATAAGCATTGTTGCAGTTTAGGCGCTGATATAACTTTACTAAACCGACGACGCATACAAATATTTCGTTACAGAGATATAATATACACGAATCAGATTAAAAGCTAGACGTAGTTATTATCTGCAGTATACAGGTGTTTTACGAGTACCTACCTGCAGAGTCCACGGCGAGAAGTCGTAAGTGAATAATATGTTTGAAACCGTTTTACATAACTTAACTACTATGTACGACTCGACGACAAATATTTGCCTTGTATTTTATTTGCTTTTGTATAAACGGCCGGGTTTACGCGCAGATGCACGCGAGCCGTAAATTCGTATTTATAAAACGCATCATTCGTCGGGCCGCTTGACGAATTTATTTGCTTTTTTCTTTTTCGTTTTCTTTTTTTTTTTCATAAGAATTTATGATTTTAGAGTACACGAGCCGTTAGAACCGTGCTAAACTACCGCAAGGAATAAAGTCGATAAATCGCTGTTGTACTGTCTATTGAAAAATGTTCACCGATTTTTTTTTTTTTTCAACTATAGTTATAATATATATAATGTGTATATCTACTTGAAAAACGTCTATAAAATTTCTCGAGAAAACTTTGCGCGTACGGTAAAAACGTACGATATAACCGCATATTTTATTTATATATTTGCACACGCCACGTGCACATATTATAATTTAGCAAGAAAAAGTTAAAAGTTCGGTATATTATGCGGTATATATAATATTATATAATGCGGGAAATAATATAATAATTCAATGCATGATAAATATGCAATTTTCACTTGGAAAAAAAAAAAGTTCAAACTCACAACGCGCCGCGGTACAGACGAGAAGTTATTTATATTAATTATACAAAAAAGCGCAGGTTTTTTGGAAAAATTGTCCGTCTACAATGAAAATACATTATGCGTACATCATGTAGGCTAGTATATAGGTTTTCTACGATATATTTACCGGTGTCTGACATAGGCGTACGCAGAATTTCGGTACAGGTATGGCACAATGTTTCTTATATGTATTCAGTTTAGACAACGATTATTTTGTGGCAATACTACAGCTGGAGTAAACGATTTCAAATTTTATTGGAAACGTTTTACCATATTGCAATTATAACTTTAAACAATTCTAACATAGACATTAACTAATTACTAATATATAAACAGTATAAAAAAATTTTATTCGTACTGTTTATGATCCTTTAAGGAGTAAATTTCGAGATTAAAAAAAAACCGCGACTTTTCTCTTGTTTCGAACGGCATGCCCCGAGCATAGGTATATATATATAGGTGTTTTCAGGCCCGGATTTACGTAAAGACGAGTTAGGCACGTGCTTAGGGCTAGGCAATTGGAGGGTCTAGTAGTACGCAATAGCATCCCGAAATCAAGCATATTAAAATGTATTAAGTAACATATTAATTTTTAATTTTAAAATTTAAATCATATATAAGCTATGACATAATTGAATAGCTAAAGTGTTGTTTATGATATAACTACATCTCATTGTACAATTATCTGTCTCGGAAGTTTTACTAAGACGTGCTTTTGAAACATTTAACATTACAAATTGTGTTCCATTTAAGTACGTTTAACATCTCTGCGACTGTATTTTTGCCGCAAATCACAATAATGTCTTTCACAAAACATCTTTTAAACATCATTTATCAACATGTGTACAACTTAAACGGGTACGTTTTAGAGATGTTTATTTCTAACATATCAATAACCGCAAAATCGTGTTCATAAAACAACATTGAATATAAAACGAAAAATAAAAATGCGAAACATCGGAATCTTGTTTCCGGAGCCGCGGGTATTGAACCCGATATTCTACCTATCCTAACCTAATTCATCTAAATTACTATACACAAGAATACCTAACTAACTATTGAGAAGAGTTGATTTTATGGCTATATAAGTTATTAGGTCAATTTCAAAATATTGTATAATACAATATATACAGAGACATGTATAATTCAAAAGAATATTATTTTAGGTATAGGTAAGAAATTGAGATTCAAAAAAAAATACAAAAACTACAACATCATACTAAAACCAATAAAATTCATCGTCACGCTCAAATATACTTGTAAAATTTAATTTATTCATCAGTATACGTATAAATATGTATCAATATATAATATTAAGATAAAAAGAATTAGACAAATAGTCGTATTAACGCAGACGAAAAATTGTGTTATCCGTGGCAAGCCGAAAAAAACAGTCACTGTTTATGTTTATGGAACCACACGGTTGTTATGGTAAATTTTTTTTTACGTAACGAATAAACAAGTAAAATATTTCACTTTACATCGTCTCTTTCATTGTATTTAACTACTCTTCCGTATTTTACAAATTTTTGATTATCATAATAAAATATGGACCCAATGCTAATTCTAGAAAGGTCTTCGACCATTGTCGAAAACGATACTACAGTTAGTGGAAAAAAAAGACAATTATCGCCATCATTGGCGGATCAAACGTATTCAAAAAAACTTAAAGCAAGTCCTTCGAAGTACGACGGAAAGGAATCACGTAAGTTATTGTATTTCTTTATTAAAATATTATTTTCGTTCGCTGTTGTACACAACGATCGAAGCGCGCGCTGGTCAATATTCCGGGGCGATTCGCGCCACGCGAAATAAGGAATAAGGCGAATTTAAATATATAAACAAAAGGTAACGAAATATGGTAAAACTAGAAAACGTATCCACAACGGTATTGTGTTAGCACGGCGGACGGTAACGGGGAGCGAGGAGGCGGGCGGCCGTACGTCTACCGCTCGGTCAGACGGCGGCCGGCGATAAGGCGACGTTGCATAAGATCGTACAAATAAGCTAAATAAAAACAGTTATTATTTTTTAACGACAAAATGTGTGCGTGCGTGT